GTAGGATCATACTTACTGGGCCGCGCTCAGCCTGTCATTCCGCCAAATCTTTATTCGAATGAACATGATGAACATGATAGCCTGAGGTCCCCAGGTAAGATCATACATAAGACTGTACTATCACATACACTATTGACGATTCATAAATGATAAACAGTTGACATAAGAAACATTTTAAACTTAATCCACTTTAGCCCCTCAGCTAGCTGGGCTACGTCAAATCACAGATGTGAGTGCATGTTCCCGGTTCCGTCAGCGAATCACGCTACAAGGACTAGGGTTGGGTTGGTTAGGGTTGGTTAGGGTTTCGAATTGCATCGTTCAGGGTCAGCTAGAGTGTAGAGAACGGCCGGTTAAAAAATTACGTGACATGCAGTCTAGTCGAGTGTAAATAGTAAGGTAGTTAATCATCATCCAGACTAGATATGGCGGAATGACAAGTTAAGCTGAGCCTGAGAGCCACAGATAACTGATTACTGGGCCGCGCTCAGCCTGTCATTCCGCCTAATCTTTATGTTTATGAACATGATAGCAGCTGAGGTCCCCAGGTAAATAACTGACGGAACCGGAAACACTCACATTTGTGATCGCAATGCGTTACTATGCCGCGCCGCGCACTTAATTATGCTTTTCGCAACCACTTCGCTAGATCGGGAAAATGCGCTAGTGGGCCTCGCCGAGCTGCGAAGATCAATTGACATCGTCAATTAAAAGGCCGATAGGTAACTAACGGGGCAAGGAATGCGCGTGCCTGAAAGCTTTTACACACCGAAACGCTAATTCAGTTTTGATTGACGTTGTCAACCCTTCCAGATCGTTGCTCTGCGAAGCAAGAATGCTAATTTACGCAGCGCGTTGAAGCGGCTAAGTTCTCCAATTAGTTCAGTTATGTTTTACTGTATCCACAAGGGGGGCTGAAATTGAAACTAGGTTTTCGATCAAACGCTACCATTTGTAGTCAAACGTCTCCAACAGCTTTGCTCTCGTCCAATGAAATCGATACATTTTGCAAGGCATTATGCATAATTGAATTACATATATTCGTATGCGAAGCTTGGCTTACATGTTACATAATGCAGCGATTTCATTGGACGAGAGCAACTTGCTTTATATCCAGAGCCCTTACGCTTGCAGTAGCGCGCGCCCGCCTCACGGCGGTAAAAAGGCTCTAGCCACCAACCCACCCAACGATTTTGGCACCACTTATGTAGAGTGCCAAAATTTCCCTCGCTTTTGTCCTCATATGCAACGTGTGTAGCCTTTCAGACATTGATTGCGTAAACGAGGTGTTGTACGTCACCTCAAGGTTGCGAGAAGCATTATTTGATGCGCGCGCGACCCGGTAGTGCATCGCGCTACAATCGTTTCACTATCATGTTCACGATACAGAGGGAGCCGCGCACTCGTGCGTGGCGGGTCATACAACGTGTGAGACAAGGCTCATATTAGGACTAGAAGAAAATTATTAGCATACATTTTAATTGGGGCCGGTTCTGTTTATAACTGTTACTTATATAGCTATAGGTTAGGTCTAGTTGTGACAAAAAAGTCTACTCTAAAACATGTTTTAGTTTATATTGTGTAGTTCAAGAATATAAAATGCAGCTTCAAAGTGGATATTGGAGTTCTGGCGAACGATTATGGCCTTTGTATCAATGGTTATAATAAGCTATAAATATCCTAAACTATACAGTGCTAATTAAAAATTGTTGTACTTAATTCTCAAATTAAATTTAAAAAATTCAAAAATGTACATTTATTTTATTAACAAATTCTCACACATATTGAGGGGGATTTAATTGAGATGTGTGTGACCAGCCAGTTATAATGTTTGGAAAATAACATTTGTGCAGTCGAAATCTTTTACGGTCCAATCAAGCAGGGCGTGGTTATGTTGATTAGCTAATAGCATGAAAATGCTTTGCATATCTCTAGGGTGTGGCATCCCTAGAAGTAGTGTAGGAGGAAATAAATGCCTGATGCCGTCCAGGGAGGATCACATCAAATATTTGTTTTTGTTATCAATATTCAAAGTATTGTAGTGAAATCGATCCCAGCAATGTACCAGTCCCATGAAAATGTGAAAACGGTAGGTTCCTGGAAGTAGAGAAAGGAAGCTTCACGCCGTTCGTTTTCTCAACGTCTGGTGGAATGGGTGGTGAAGCTGAAAGACTAGTAAAGAAGCTGGCTAGTAAGATGGAATACCACACAGGGCAGAGGTACTCAGATGCTGTGGGGTACATTAGGAAGCGCCTTCGTTTCGAAAACTTAAGAACGACGGTAATTTCTCTCCGGGGAGACAGAGGGGCGAGAAAGAACTTTGTCAATATAGACAGTTTAGATTTGAACTTGGAGCCGCAAGGCCAAGGGTGATTTTCAAAATATTGAGTTTTTGAAGGGTTTATTTTATATAGGGTCATTGTGACATTATGTGTATACTGTTTGAAACATTTTATAAATTATGACATTACTAAAAAAAAGTATTGTAGTGATCAGTCTAATCTTTCCTACTATAATATTTAGTTTAAGAAAACATATTCTTGCTTTGTTCTCTTTAGCTGTTTATTATTATTAATCAACTATATACAGCAAACACAAGATTATTAATTAATTAAAATTGAAATTTAAAAACACCACTATTAAGCGTACACTTTTACTCAGCAGTGTCACTACAACTAGTTTACAAAAATACTTTTAAAACTATATATCAAAAGCAAAATAAAGTTCTATGTATAAATTCGTTCATAAAACTTCCAAAAAGCTAATATAATTTAGATAAGTCAAAGAGAGGGTTAAAATTATTAATAAAACATTTTTGCTACCTCAGTGTCAGATAAAGTAAACAAATAAGTCTTCAGTGCGGACTTAAACGCCTCAACAGAATAACATTGTTTAACTGAGTCTGGTAGTGCATTAAAAACTCGTGGACCAACCACACTAAAACTACGATCACCAAAACCCTTGGTTGAACGATAAGGGACTATGAGCCTAACAGTGTGTAATAGGAAATAAATCATAAAATCGAGTGGCCGAGTAGTCTCGACTCACCCATAGCTTCTCCATAAACGTCTATCATGAGCTTTGTACACTAAATCGTTGAAATTACTTAAACTAAATCTTGTATTTACAATCACAATAATATTCTTCGTCATAATGTCTTTTAATAATAAATCAAATAAATTTGAACGAGGTCTGCCCCTCCTTCCTTTGTAGTCAAGACATCCTAAACATGCAAATCTAAAAGATAAGAAAGCGGGAGTGTCATCACCGCTTCTGAGAACGTGCCCAAGCATCTTCCATTGTGCTTTCTTGATCCTTTCAGTAAGGGGACTGACATTACATCTCTTATATAAGTTCTCGTTACTGATAACCGTAGGCCAATAGGTGTTGATTATCTGTCTCAGATGCTTCCTTTGAAGAACGTCGACAGATGCCATTACGGTTTCAGGAGCAGCCCAGCTGCTACAGTTATACAACTACATAGCTGTTTAGTAAGTATAATTGTACTGATTGTAAGGCATAAACAAGTCCAGGAAATAATGCACATTAATTGACCCAAAATCTATTATTGTTGTTGTTGATATTAGATAGTATATACACAGTAAATTAAATCAAGTGATGCAATTGGTAAATCAGGAGCAATAAACATAATCTATCCCTGGTCCTCGTAGCTCTTCTCCTCAGGTATCAGGTTGAAGGAGACCTTGGATATAATAGGGGCGGTCCATGCCTTCGTTGCCTTCCCACATGCACCTCTAACTGCTACTAGCACACTCCTCATTATATTCATGCTCAGGTGTGTCCTGATGTTACACATCACCTGGCTGTAGTCCTCCTTGGTCTTGGTGGCTATCAAAACTGCAAGTCTCCCCTCCATGAAATGCTTGACCTCAGGTGCTATTCCTCCTGTAGTGGTAAATGCAAGGGGGACGAATGACCCTTTCTTAAATTGTAGCACTCGGTTCATGTACTGGTTCTTTTTCTCATTCTTGTTTCACATTAATTGCCCCAAAATCTTGATTTCCCTTTTGTGTGACCGTACCCTGGTGACCACCAGTGTTGTCGCACTGTTCAGACTAGTTTGAAATTTGATAATGATTCAGTTGCTTCATATTCTTAACTGTCATATAATTATTCTTTTAGGTGTATGTTCAGTGGCATAACATTCCATGTTGGCGCCCCTCCGAAAAAAATCGCCCCCTATCAGCGTGGGACGGACTCACAAATTATATATTTTGTAAAAATAGCACGCGAAAGTTAAACTCTGTACAATATTATCATTTCATTATCCATCGTGATTTACCGCACCAAAATAATGAGACAATGCTGTGCTAATCTTATATATTATGTATTAAAACTTTTACATCCTAATATGCAATATTCAATAGTATGTACAAGCTGATTTGTTGTGAAAATCCTGAAACAATTTATATGTTTGTGCTCAGCTGATATCAGGCTTGGGGTGGTGCTTTAGAAGCGGTATTTTGGGTACTAGTAAAGCTCTTACAGGCAACTGGTTCCTTTTGCCAGCCGTTTTTAGTCCAAGTACTGTCCAATTTCTGGTCTCAGAACAGCGCAACTAAAATTGTCTTATAATGCCAACATGGCCTGGAATTATTTTTATCATGTCGTGCAGTGACCCCCTGTCATTGCACGAAGTGGTTTTGTGGCAAAGCCACAAATAACGAAGCCGCGCACTCGTATGCGGTAGGGCCACAATGTGAAACAAGGCATTATGGACTATCATATCGATTTATTAAATTTAAACATTTAGAATACAAGTCAGTTAATGAAATATTTTTAGAATAACTTTTACTTCTTTTACTATATATTTTTGAATCATCCTGTTGACCCAGAACCTTGCTCCCGATTCTGGTGGTCTAGCTCAGTAGGATGGGCATGAAAAAAAACTATATTTTTGATCTTGAGTTAAAATATTTGTTCTATTATTTTGGTGTTATATATTGAATTTCGATTTGACTAACATAAACACACCTTCTAGGATAATGTACAACTAATGAGTGCTATGACGATGCTGGCCCCTTGTAAACTTGAGCAAAACAGCAAAATTCTCGGACAAAACACTATATCCGGTCACCCTATTATAAAACAAGAAACCATTGAGCCCAGTCCGCCACTTGTCCCCAAAGGTTTGGCTTTGCTTCAATTAAGAAATTTATTATTAATATGGGTATTATATTTAAAGATTTTAAATTATGTCTTTATCCACTTCAGCCCAACAAATACTGGGTAGAAAACTACTAAACCCCTTATATTACTTATGCTTTAGACAGTCCCAACGCAGTGGAGAAATGTATGCAGTGGTGAAACATGCCATCATTGCTAATTTTTTTCTGCCCACCTTAACTTGTCCTAAAACTTGGAAAATGCCGTGTAGTGGGTTGTTTTGCCACTGCCACTGCCATGTGTTGGTTCAGCTAAATTAATTATTTTATAGTCAAGCTAATTTCTAGTTTAGTTAGTTGTCATCTGGCCACACAGTATGCAACTCATGATGCAATACTTTTGTTTCCATTAGATTTATATGATCAAAATAATGTCAGTGTAATTTTGCATGACTGAAATCGAACGTTTCATTCTCATATTTAATATAATAATTAATCAAATTTCCAAATATATAAATCATTGGAGATCCAAATTTTTGATTTACATCAGATGCTCTGATGGGAAGCCAGATTGTTTAAAGTAACCTGAAAACATTGATCTTTTGGTTTTAAGAGCGTTTTATCATAACTTTCCCTATTTGGATGAGGAAATGTAAATGCTTTGTTGATTATCTGGATAGTTAAATAGTTGCTCCTTATATATTTTAAAGGATTTCCTAATAACATCATATAACTATTTTCATGTGTGAATTTTCAGGGGAAAAGGTTGAAGGTGGTTCAGGAGAAGATGTAGCTATGGACATTTCAATATCACTTGTAAGTTCTATATTTTCATTCAATTCAATAATAGCTCTGTACTCATTTCAGTGCACTATGATCTGTATTTTAATGGTTAGAATTCTGGTAAAATAAGGTCATGTTCGAAGAAATTCTCACTCTGGATAACCTTAAGTTAAAAATTTTCACTCCAATTTTCAAAGAAATTCTCGCTTCATCAGCACGTGCTATCAAGTCTGTTATAATTTATCTGTAATATTAGTCTAATGATGGCTGCCATTATCTGATCTCCCAACGAGGATTATAATTCCAGTGTCAAGTTACATCGAGGAGACTCTAGGATTGAGGGTGTGGTCAGGGTTGATAATTAACATATATTATAATGTCGGTATTTGTTCGTATCATGTCATAGGTTATTTCTGGTATTGATTGAGCGCAGGGTACTGTGTTGTAGTAAGCCAGATCGTTCATGGGACTTGGTTTCTATTTTTAGTTTCAGAGCAGTCGTTTGTGTGCAGGTCGTCGATCGTTTTCAATGATAAATCATAAAGTAACCTAATCATATTTTATAAATATATGTTAATTTAGATCATCCATTCTTTGGACTCCAACCTTGGACCGGGTAAGGCGGTTTCCTTTTCGGTTATTTTATTTAATTACGATTTAGTTAATTAGATTTACTGAGAATCTGTTATTCAAATATTAGAACAGGATATTTGAGATGCGGTTAATTAATTTCCCTCAGTGATACAAAGTTACAAAATATCTTTGTCTCCAAATCTTCAATGTGATTCAGAGATCACAGGTTGTTGCAGTGTTGTAGAGATGGTGAATTAGGGCTAGAGGTGACAAAAAATGGTCAAAGAATTGTAAATTTTATTGTTTCCAAATGGTCAAAATCTCCCTGTTTTGCCACTATAATTATTTAAATATTCAATTATTCACCAAATTTATTCAACATTTTCTGGCACCATCACCCGCTCTCAATTATTCACGCTCTATGGTCCTGAAAATAATCCAAAAAATTTAAGATTTGTACGGGTCAATATTCGTTGTAAATTACTTTCCCCTGTAAGTTTAAATAAACTCCTCACTGCACAGAGACATTAAAATCTTAGAATTTGAATATAGAGGAAAATATTTAATTATAAATCTACAAGTTTCAGCATGCTCCTTTGATCTTGTAAACTTGTAACTGTATAATTGCTTTCCCTCAGCTCTGCGGACACCTTGACACCAGTTTCATTATAATAATAGGTCCCCACTCATTTGAAAAGGAACATATTGAATTATTGACATGATCACTTTGCAGTTTGCAAGATGTCTTTGGTTCAAAGTGAACATCTTTTACGGTATATTGCTGGTCGAATGAGTTGCTAATGTTACATTTTATGCACTGATTTAACTCAAATTATATATAATGTATATTACTGAACATGTTCCACTTTAAGTTAAGATCAATCCCTACTCTGACAGGTGACATCCCCAGTAATCAACATATTGTCATAGTTTTTATAACGAAATAACGGACTGTTACGTCACGTGACTGTTACGTCACGTGACGAAATTCTGGCTGATCTTTCAGTGACTTAGCGAGTTGTTCGAGGCTTCATGGTCAAATTTTCTGAATCTTTGTCGTCAACATATTAATCACGTAACTCAATACGTGTAGATATTCTTATTATTTTAGAGAATAATGTAGTATATATTATATAATGTAGTAATAAACATGGATTACTTCCAGTTACGTATGATACCTTACAAGACATATTTATAACGTACGAAATGTGGCGGTTTTCCGAAAATTTCGCCATATTTTCGGACCGCCAAAATTTCGGTCGTCGTAATAGAATCCGTCGCATTATCTTTTAGCTTATTTCAATGACTGTGCCTTCACTGCTTTATTTTGTTTCTAAAAAGTAATATCAAGTAAAATAAATAAATAAATTCTGGCATCTTGGGACAAATTATCACCACACCAATGACGAATTGAATGTCAAGCAATACAGTTTAAATTTGCATTAAAATACATGTATGTGCTAACATGAAAGTCTTACAGTCTTAATACAGACTAAGTTTGAACATGATTTTACCGAATTTCAGAAATTTCCTTACTGCTTACTGTCACAAAAAATGATGAAAAATACCCTTATTTTCTGTGACGTCCGAAATTTGACGGTTTTTGTTCAATTTCGCCATATTTTCGGACCGCCAAAATTTCGGTCGTCGCAAATTGGTCCGCCACAAAAAAGTCTTGTAAGGTATGCAAATAAAATAGATCCATTCCGTTAAATTATAAATATCATAAACGCTGATGATCGATTATATTCAGTGTCACCTAGTCTAGGGAGTAGCTAAGGATCCATTGGATCTATGCGATCTCCTCGGTCGATTCAGCCGAATGATAGGAAACTTAATTGAGGGTTAGATGAGGAGGGGTACCTGTTAAAAGTTCAAGAAACTTCCTAGGATAGTAGGATACCCCTTCAGTGCATACTGTAAACATAGTACTATTAACTATTAACAATATTCGTGTTGAATTTAGCTTGTCTTTGTGTAAGTCTGTAAGTGGAGCACTTTGCACTGAACGTATCTATTACGAATATCGTTGTATTTGAGATGTTTTCTGTCCAATGTTAAATGTTCTTCTTCTCTAATCCTCCTCTGTTAGTCCTGGTGTTCTCCTTGAAGTTACCCTGAGTAACCTGTATATTGGGAGGGAACTAGAGTAAGTAAATAATAAGTACAAAGATATTTAAGAGAATAACATTTCATTGCGTTTATACTAACAAAAAGTGAACTCTTAATGTGATCCTATTATCTCATTATCTAATTACAAAAGGGCAGGGCAGGTAAGGGTTAGGGTAAGGGTTAGGGTAAGGCCCCTAATCTACCCTATAATTGGGGGCCCTCCCTCAGGATAGGGTGAAAAAGTCACGTGATCAGTGCAGATTGGTTAACATGGTGGGAACTACAGGAAATACTTTTACTGTGAACTGTAATATTGATAGTTGAAATTAAGAAGGTATGGGGGGGGGGGGGGGGGGGGGGGGAGCCAAGTGGATATTTGTAGATATTTGGATAATGTCATCCACTTTTTTCGTGAATTATCCATTACAATAATCTACAAATATCTACATTTATCTACAAAAAATGTATATCTCAAATATGTGCACAGAAATTCTACTGAATTTTTGGAGATAAATGTATAAATTTGTAGAATTTGTAGAATTTTCGTGAATTATCCATTGACAATAATCTACAAATATCTACATTTATCTACAAAAAATGTAATCTCAAATATGTGCCCAGAAATTCTACTGAATTTTTGGAGATAAATGTATAAATTTGTAGAATGTCATCCACTTTTTTCGTGGATTATCCACTCTACATTAATCTACAAATATCTACAAATATCTACAAATATCCACTTGGCCCCCCCCCGGCCCCCCCAGGTATCAGCTACTTGCATTGTGTATGATACAATATGAACCTTGAGCACTGTGCTACTACTGGTCGTGACCACTATTTATATTGATTTATCTACATATTTATATTATATTAGTACCGTAATGCTTTTCAAACAAAGTTACAACGAATTCTTCATGTATGATATTATATTATTATAGCTGAGAAAGTTGAAAGATTCGAATAAAAGGTGGGATTGGTATGATCTGAGCATGTGGCGTCAGTATTTTCCCTTTCATTCGGTAGTGATTAGTAGTGATTAAGTGATTAGTAGTGATTAGTAGTGATTAGAAGTGATTAGTGCACGATTTTAGAATTGGCGGATTGTTAAAAATTGTCAATAAGTTCAGCCGATCAAAATACACGTACAAATCAATCCAACCATCACAGGACCAGTTTTAATCGATCGTACGATCAAAAATACGTAATTTATGGTGATTTATTGGTGTCCAAAGTTCCTATCGTTTCGAGTAGAAATACCGTGAAGCCCTTTAATTTAATATTATTATCAGAGATCTCATCCGTAAATTTTAAAGCTTTTATCATAGCTCAGTAGCAAAGTGTAGTTGAGTATTGTTGGCTGTATTTGGCTGGAACAAAGGCGCTTAGTGTGTGATTTTAGAGACTCAGTGGCGGCTTGGTTGAGCTGAGAGTTCTGAGAATTCTAAAATCACATACCATCTTACTATAGCTATTGGCTAATAATAGCCGCGTTAATAAAGCCACGGTTTGTAGAGCATGGTTTTACACAATAGTTATTGCCCTCCCAGTTATTGCAACCCTATTTAATGCATTATATTATCGTAAACAAGAGTGAGATAACAACTTTTACATTATGGACAGTTACACACTGATCATGAGAGAATATTGCTTAATTCATTAACTGAGTTATGTTTGATAACTGTACGTGTCCATTAAACTCTCGCATTCCTTAAAAAATACCAGTCCTGTTTTTTTACTCTGAGAAAACATACAAGTGTGCACATACACGACTATTAAACATAGTTATGTGCACATACACGACTATTAAACATAGTTATGTGCACATACAAGAGTCTTGCCCAGCGAAGAGTTGGAACTTGCCGAAGTTTATAATACTGTAAATCTACTGTACTGTTCCTCCTACCACACATCTTTAATATGTTGTAAAATTAACGGTGTATCAGCTACTGAGTACACAATAATATAAAATAGGATGTAAGATATTTATAAACAAGTCATTGCAATCTCAGTATTTTATATCGTAAGAGAAGCAGGTCGTATAACTCTAATCGATCGAACTTTAGATCTTTCTAAATGTTTATGATAGAAGTCGGGGTGGAGAAGTTACAGTTACAGCATCAATTATAATAGATACAGTAGATACATACTGGTAGATTACATTTGTTAGATATATAGTAAAACAAGACATACTGGTAGATAATCTAGATATACTAGTTACAATATAGATTTATCAATATAAATTAGATATGTTGCAAGTTATAATGTAGATTGTTTCATTTGCATTAGATAATATGTTACAAATTGCACAGAAGACAAGGTGTTCATGTTAGTTGCTGGTTGCACTGTAT